TATCGGCCCATATCGTTTGTTTTTTAAATTCTTGATGAATTTGGCACCGAAATTGCCGGCAAAAACGGTGAATATTTGGCCGCCCGTTAACCTAGACCCTGCGATTCATAGGTCCAGGGATCAAACTCCGGAGGACTCAATACTACGAAAAGGTAGGAAAAACACCTAACTACTTAGTTCACAGCCCGCTAGACCCTGCGATTCATGTCACACAGAGACACACACACACACACACACACACACACACACACACACACACACACACACACACACACACACACAGAGAGAGAGAGAGAGAGAGAGAGAGAGAGAGAGAAACAAACGCCTAACTCCTAACTCCTAACTACTTAGTTTACAAGCCCGCTAGACGCTGTGATTCATGGCGCGCGCGCACACACACACACATGGCGCGCGCGCGCACACACACACACACACACACACACACACAGAGAGAGAGAGAGCTCTGGGAAAACCGTGTGGAACTCTGGGAGGCAACCAACCTCGAAGTGTTGGGCAGGTTGCCTTGATGCCAGGTGCCAGTTCGGCCTCAGGGCTTTGAGGACTGCGGCCAGCTCTTCTAAGAGTGTTGCACCTGTGTACCAGTACCAGTTCACCCAGATGCCAGGAGCCAGTTCGACCCAGTACTGAGGTTGGTTCTCAGAGAGGAGACTTTGCACAGTGGCCAGTAGGGTCCTACGTAACCGTGCCTGTTAGGGGTCATGTTTCATGCCTCACTTTTGTTTTATCGGGTTTGCTTTTCTGCAGGACCCACTTCTCTGGACCTAGACGAACCTACATGGAGTCAGACAGTGACTCATGGACCCTGCTACTCTCATTGATTTGGAATGTTTTCATTTAAGTATTTAATTTTGTGCAAGGAACGGTCAATGAGGACACAAATTTTCCAGCAGCAAAAGACTTAGATTGGAACCAGCATACAAAGCCAAGAGCACACCAAACTAGCACACACTGAGATCGAAGTCTCTTGGTAAAGAAAGCCCAACTTGCCTCTCCTTCTTTTAACAACAACAATGTAGCAGTTCTCCAATGATGTGACCAATTGTACTACCATCCTACTCGTTCACTACGCACAGCTTACTTCTCTTTCTGTGTCTAGCTGTCCGCTGTAATCTCGCCCAACAATGCTGCAGAGTATGACCATCCTAAGTGTGCTCTTCGACCATCGCCAGGTAAGCCTTCCTGTTCCCATTGCTGTCTCTCTTCCCTGATCACTCCAGCACTAGTGCCCCTTCTTCCCCTTTTTCGCTATGGCTGCAGCCACGCAGGAGCAGCTGCCTGTTGCTTCTCCTTCCCTTCTCCTTGCAATGCTCAGGGGCCTGGCTGTTGCTGATGAGCCTTGCTGGCCTGCTGCTACCTCCTCTTTCTCGAATCCCCGTCTGGAAGCTCCTGAGATTCTTCCAGACCAGGTACCTGGGCCTTGGCCTCTGAGACTAACTGGGAGGCTGGGCCTACCGGTTCGTTGGAGAGGGTTAGTCCAGCCTTCCTTCCAACTGCCTCATGCCAGCCTCTCCAGAGGCCTGACATATTTTTGCTTGCCGGGCCTTCAATAGGCCAGGTCAATATTGTGTGGCTGGTACTGGATGCGGCTGAGGGTTGGAGCCGCAGACTTCTGTGTATTGCTCCAATTTTAATGGACATCTGGAGGGATAATTTGGGAAGTTTTTTCTGTAGTAGCGGAGAGGGTTTTGAATTTTGAATCATTTTGGAATTAATCAAAATTTGATTGTTTCCCTTACTTAGTGCATGCACAGTGATGGTCTCTCTCTCCCCCCCTCTGCCTCTCTGTCTCTCTCTGTCTCTCTCTGTCTCTCTGTGTTTCAGTACGTCTGTCGGTATATCCATCTGCACATCTCTCTCTATCTGTGGGGAATCTGTCCCTCTCTCTTCTGAGGTTTTTGACCCTGGTAGTTTCGCTCAGATTGACTTCAATTTTCCTTGTTTCCCACCCACTGTCTGAACAGGTACGCGGGAGGATGATAAGGAGCGGCTGAAGTTGCTGGTTGCTGCAGGAGTGAATGTGGTGATTCTGGATTCCTCGCAGGGGGATTCCACATTCCAGTTGAATATGTTGAATTATGTTAAGAAGAACTATCCTGCTCTCGACGTAATTGCTGGGTAAGTGAATCTTGGCCCTCTTTGTACTCTATCATTTTTTTTAAGTTTTTTTTCCGTGGAGTTCCGTCTTGATTCTTGATTTTCAACAATAAATCTTCCGGAGCTCAACTCAGACAGGGGGGGGGGGGGGGGGGGGGAGCGCAAAGGGGGCCAAAGGGGTGGGCAAAAAGTACAGTAGGGGTAGGAGAGTGTGCACGTGCTGTCTTGGGGGCAAAAGGGGGGCAAAGGGGTGGGCAAAAAGTACAGTAGGGGCAGGAGAGTGTGGACGTGCTGTCTTGACATGTAACTATGCATATATGATTAGCGAGCTCAAGCAGGACAGACACATGGAGTGAGGCAGTCAAACAGGAGGGGACGAAGGCCTGGTGGGGGCTGGAATCAATGTGGGTGTGTGTGTGTGTGTGTGTGTGTGTGTGTGTGTGTGGTGTGTGTATTTGCTGTCTCTTATACACATCTAGATGTGTATAAGAGACAGGTATTGGGGCACGTGCACTTCGTACAACTCATCC